AGTAGAAGATAAGATTAGAGATAGCCGTCTTAGATGGTTTGATCACATAAACCGCCGTCCTTTCGATGACCCAGTTAGGAAAGTAGATGTATTTGATTTGACTTATGTTAAAAAATGTTGAGGTAGGCCTAAAATGACTTTGTTAGAAAATATTAAAAATGACATTTACTTATTAGATTTAAATTAGAATTTAAGTTTTAACAAAGAATAATGGAGAAAAATGATTCATTTAGTTGACCCCCATAGCGAGATAAAGATTTAGGCTTCGTTTGGGACAGCTTTTTTTCTGCTTCATAAAGCGACTTTTTAGTACAAAAAAGAAATTTTTTATACTAAAAAGTTGCTTTGAGAAGTAATAAGAAAGCCGTCCCAAACGAAGCCTTAATGTTGTTGTTGTCGTAAAAAATTTTTGTACAAAAAAATTGCTTTGAAAAATAGTAAAAAATATTAGTCTCTTAGATCACCGAGATCCACAAACTTTTTTTTTTAAATACGAAACAGCTAAATCGTACAATACAAGTAAAGATTTTAACATATTGTTAATGTTATCATTTATTATTTAATAATTGATTAATGATTAAATTGCTTGTTTGATTACGATTCATTTATTTAATTAGGCTTTTGTAAAATTATTGCCATATAGAAACTTGCTATTTTGATTGAAAATTTGGTTAGCTATTCCATATATGATTAATTAAATTGAGCAACTATTATGACTAACCGATGATTAATTAGTCTAATTGATTGTTGATTAGTTAATTCATTTGGTTTACTTAAGTAAGTAACTAGTCTTTGGTTGATTATAATAATAATTATTTATTTATTTATAAAACTTGATGCGTCAACTAAATTCTATAGATCAATTATGAATCTTGATGTAACATTTAAATGAGAAAATTTTAAAATTATATGAAGATCATATTAATTCTGATTTCAGCAAATTTATGATTGAATTAAATGCCTCAATGAGAAATTTATTGATATCAAAAATGATTTTGTCTTAATCCAAATGAGCACATATAAAGCGCTTAAAGTATAATTAAAAATTTTGAGAAATTAATTAGAGGATCAAATGATAATCAAACCTTATATGCTTATAGCTAAATCGAGCATCTCGACAAGATGACTCTAACAATTCTACAATCTCTTAATTTTGACATCATGAAAGCATCCAAATATTGAAAGAATAATTTATGATTAAATGAATCAATATGGGTCATCTCGTAGAGTATTTTGGTTTTCGAATATATATTTATAAAAAAGTGCTACTTTTAACATTTATAAATAGACTCTCATTATCTATATAAAGAGGGATTTGGAGATGATGCTTAGGATGAGACCGTGACTTAAAATTGATAAAGCTAAGCTGTTAGATCATCACTGTCAGACAATACCGATAGACCACTGCCAACATACCACCACCAACATCGAACCACCTTTTGTCCAACAACCGCTGTCAGATCATTGCAGTCCTACCAATCGTCAAACCACCATCATCAGCCATTCGCCCTCTGACCAAGTACTCTGATCCTTTGATTACCTAGCCCGCCTATGATCTATCAGCCATCATCATTCGACTATAATCTCATGGCTACCATTATCTAATTATGGTTTTAAAGATAGCTCTTTATGTCATAATACTCTTCCAACTTGCACTATAGAATCTTTTCTAGATAGTTAATGTTTCCCTAATTATTGTAATGAATATAATGTATAATCAATGATACATATTAATGGAATATATATATATATATATATATATATATATTCAGATTTTCACGTAAAACTATGCCATTTTTTACTCATTTTTTTAATGTGTATTGAATCTTTATATAATACTAAAACTATAACTTTTTTTAAACAAAAATATATTAAAAATGAAAAGAAGAATATACGGAGAGAAACAAATTTGTGGGGAAAAAACTTCCACTTCCCATAGACAAAAGGGGAAGGGATACAAAGGAAAACACCCTAAATCAAGCCGCAGACAAAAACAAAAGAAAAAAAAAAAACCTAAAATGAGAAGGAGGGCCCTTTCATTGGTTTGTATTACGCAATAAAACCCAATACAACAAACCAATGAAAAAGAGGCCACTCATTCGGCACTTGGAACAATTATTAGGTGCAGAGTGCGGACGGGAGAACCGTCCGCACAAGCTCTGGTTACCTAGTGGTACCGAGTGCGGGTACTGAGCTGGGTACCCACCAATGAGGTGACATGGCGCATTTTTATTGGTCTCCGGACGCACTCCACACTCAACACCTAATAATTTCTCCGGCACTAGAGGGGCCCAAATCCCCGCCTTTGAAATCTATAGAAGTCTTCTTCCTCTTCCTAGGGGAGGTGGCCAAAGCATATTAAGGTCAAGTTGGAGGAGCTCTCTGTCCAATCGAGACTTGGAAACTCGTCTTTGTTGCTTGCGAAAGTTCACAATCATATTAGAAGTTTCTTCCATTTGCTGTAACTTTTCAGCCGAGAATAGGATAGGGGGATCGGCTGGGGGGGGGGGCTGGCGGACGAGTGCCTTGATCTTTAGGAGCTCTCGATTTTCCCTTCCTTCTCCATGTGACATGGTTCCAAGCTCCAAGGGAGAAATCTTCCTTGTTCTCATTAAGAGAGGGCTCTTCAATAGCAATATGCTTCGGCTCCTGAGGAGGGGAGGGTGCTTGGGGAGAATTCTCGGTTGTGGCTTGCACCTTGGTTGGCGGCGGCGACTACATTGGGGGGGATTGAGGAGCACGGGTTGGAGCCTTGGAAAGGCAAGCTCCATTGGCATGATCAATAAGACCACAGTCGCAGCAAAAGTTAGTAAGCCCTTCATATTCGACTCTTTGAAAAAACCGTCAATGGAGCCCATTGATCCAAACCCCAGCTTGAAGCTTTTGAGAGAGATCAATCATAACTTTTTTTTTTAACACAAATGTATTAAAATGAAAAGAAGGATATACTAAGAGAAATAAACTTTTTGGGAAAAAAACTTCCACTTCCCAAATACAAAAGGGGAAGGGATACACAGGAAAACACCCTAAATCAAGCCGCAAATAGAAACAAAAGAAAAAGAAACCCTTCAAATGAGAAGGAGGACCCTTTCATTGGTTTGTATTACGCAATAAAACCCAATATAAACCAATAAAAATTGGTCACTCATTCGGCACTTGAGGGGCCCAAATCCCCGCATGTGAAATATGTAGAAGTCTTCTTCCTCTTCCTAGGGGAGGTGGCCAAAGCACATAAAGGCCAAGTTAGAGGAGCTCCCTGTCCAATCGAGACTTGGAAACTCGTCTTTGTTGCTTGCGAAAGTTCACAATCCTATTAAAAATTTCTTCCATTTTCTAAAACTTCTCGACCGAGAATAGGATAGGAGGATCGACTGGTGGACGAGTGCCTTGATCTTTAGAAGCCCTCGATTTTCCCTTCCTTCTCCGGGTAACAAGGTTCCAAGCTCCAAGGGAGGATTCTTCCTTGTTCTCATTAAGAGAGGGCTCTTCAACTGCAATATGCTTCGATTCCTTAGGAGGGGAGGGTGGTTGGGGAGCATTCTAGCTAGTTGTTGGCTTGCACCTTGATCGGCGATGGCGACTGCATTGGGGGGGATTGAGGAGCACGGGTTGGAGCCTTGGAAAGGCAAGCTCCATTGTCATGACCAATAAGACCATAGTTGAAGCAAAAGTTAGTAAGTCTTTCATATTCGACTCTTTGAAAAAAACGTCCATGGAGATCATAACACAAATTCTTGCATTGGATGATTGTCCCCAAGTACTCGTATGTGCGTCCATCCACAAAGGTTCTCCAAGCATATTGGCAAAACGAGTGATGTTGTTCTTATCCCAGTATGTGAGATGGAGCTTTGGAAGACTTATCCAAATGAGAAAGTGAAGCCCATGAAGAGAGTTGTGAGAGGAGGTAGGAGACCACTTGTCCATACCAATGATGTTCCCTGCTATGATCCACTGCCTACTCATGAGCACCGCATCCCTAACGCTTCATATGCGACGATTGCATCAGGTCAATCATATATATATATATATATCTTAATTTGCTTAAATGTAAAAATAAAAAAAAATGAGTTACAGTTACCTGCAGTTCCTTCAAGTCAAAATATATTTTTAACAACAAAGTTCTAAACTACATAAATAATACTTGTTGTTCGGGGCCAAATAATCCAAAGGCATTAGTCTGAACGGACGATGACAGATGTCGATCAAGAGCAATATCCTTAACTTGGAAAGATAGGACAAATGGATTTGGTTAATTGTTGTCGGAAGACAAAGGGGTCAGAAGTACTCGTAAATGAAAAGAGAGAGGGCCTGGCATTATCACATTTGGTAAGCAAAAAGGGAAAAATTGGAGAAATCCAACAAGCCTAAAATTGCTTAATTTTGATATTATTTGGACACATAAAAGCTTGACAAACAGTCTATGATATAGGGGAACAATATAGTCCATCCGATGAAGCAGTCTGAATTTGCTCAGATCTTGTCCACATTTATGAGGCTTGCCATTTTAAAAAATCTATAAATACACACTTACTTTCCACATAAAAAAAGAGGTTGGGGGATTGGATCTATTACTGGAGATTGGAAAGAGCTACGAGGCTTCAAGGATCTAGAGCTCCACCCAAATATCACTATTGGCAAACTTCTGTCGACTATCGTTGGACCACCTCAAGTTGCCAACCGCCGTCAAACCACTATCCAACCACTAACGTTCGTTGGACTTCTGCTTTACTATCGTATGTTGGGCGGTGTCGGACCACCGCCCAACTGACGTCAATCGACCGTTACCAAACTTCCGCCCAACCATTGTCGGACCACCAATTGACTACCGATCATCATCGGATCACCGCCTGCCCTCCGACAAACTATTGCCCGTCAACTACGATCCCTCTGTCCTTCATCGCCCATCGATTATGATCCATATGACCACTGTTGCTCGCCGACTAAGGTCCGTCCGACCACCATTGCCCGCCGACTACGGTCTGTCTGGCCTCCATCACCCGCCAACTACGATCCCTCCGACCTTCGTCGCCTGTCTACTACCTGCCCTCCTACTTATGTCTTTAACAGTTAATAAAAAAACTTTACCTTACACATATCTCAATCAAATAATATTTCTATACTTGTTTACTCCTAAGATTATGCTACTTCTAAATACTATTTGGAGAGAGAGAGAGAAGGAATTTATTTATTTTTAATATTTTGGGAGCTATTCATGGATGATCCACCTAACTTCTGCAAACCAAGCAGCATTAATTTATGAAAATGAATCCCCTGCACATTTTTAACAAAAACCGGTCCATCTGTATATTGAGCATTCAATTCAAAGAAGTCACACCACACATTTCCTCCCCAAAAATCAGCCCAGCAAAATAAATCATGACCGTCCATTCTACCTTCCCAAGATCAATCTAATAAAGAAATGTCCTTTTCAATCATACATTTTGAATACTCTAATTAATTTATTACACCTCACTACGTTGATATCATCCTACTGGCTAATGATGTTTAAGCCAGATTTAATAATTTAAAGCTAATTTGATGCTTGTTTATAAAAAAATATTTAGCCGTTAGATATGCTGATCCATACATATTTATAATTTATTATAAGAAAAAACAAACAAACAATTGAATTAGATTTAGTTAAGAAATGAGGTTTTCAATGGTATTAATCACACTAATTTCATAGCTCCTAATAGGAAGGAGAAATGAAGCGGGTAGTTGAATCAGTTCCACCAAACTATCATCTGATCGCATCTATAGAAATCTGAAGTCCTCGCACGCATCCCGCCTTGCACACCACTTCTTTCCTGGAGAAGTAGAAAATAAAAGGGGGAATAGTATAGCCGGAAAAGGGAGGAAAATCGAATTTTTTATTGTAGCGTTTGACAAAAATGCATGTTTTGATTGATGGCAAGGGTGGATACGACTGCTGGATATTGAAGGAGGAGAGAAGGTGACATCTTTCTTCTTCTTCTTCTTTCAGGCGTTGAATGGATTTGGATGGTGGTAGTTGTGAGAGGTAGTGTTTTGGCTGCTACAAGTGATCATGGGAAGAGGGAGGTGGGCAGGTATCACGTGGTCCTCTGTTTTCATTTAAGACTGATAAGCTTTGGTTTTTCCTCTAACTGTTCCGCTCGTTCCTCTCCTCTCCTTCTTCTTTCAGAACCATTGAAATCGTTGCTATCGTTGGGGCTTACGGTCCAGCAATAGGTCGCAGGGTGCCTTAGCTCGGCTTGGTTAGCAGCCGGGGCAGATATTCAGGCTGTTCTTTGATCAAGTTTTCAGCTTTATCGCGGAGATTCCGTCTACACCCACGGGAAATTGCATGTGAGTTGTGGAATATTTTCATCTTTTGCTTATTTTGGTGTCTTGTTCATGTGTCGTGGATGTGCTGGTGCTTATAGTTTGGTTTATTTGTGGATTTAGGGTTTTGGTTGATTGCGATTATTCGCTTTTAGTTTTTGGATGAATATAGCAGTTATAGCTTGTGGAGGTGTTTTCAAAGAGTTGGAGTTCTTCTAAAAACTAGTCCTTTATTATTGTTTCTTCAAGTATTTTACAGTTTAAATTAATTAGTGAGTTAGCTCTTTGTGATCTTTGCAAGAAAGGGATGAATGCCGTTACCTTATTTAGATAAACAGACCATATCTGCAAACATCTGGATTACGGAAAATGAATCAAAAGGATGTTCTTCTTAAGAAAAATACAAGAATTAGGAGCTTAGATAATTCTTGGTTCATACGTAGTATGTTTTGTGGGGAGAAACGCTTGGGCTTGCAGCAGAAGATGGCAATTTGATCAGGATTGAATTCATCATTCGCGATTTGATGAAATGAAGTTGCTGATGTTCTTGCAGCTTTTAAATCATCTTGATATATTTATATATACTTGCCATTACCATTATTCCTAGAGGAAGAACACCCAATTATATGTCAAAACTTCTTTGTTTTGCATGGTTGAATATCGTTTCTTTTTGGCTTCCATCCTAATTTCGGTTCATTACACAGAGAAAAAATGAAAAAAAGATCCTTGTGTGATGATTATCGTCTAGTTCTTAAAAGCATTATAAAAAGTAGCTTTACATAGTCGTCTTGATAATGCATGGTTATGGTGTAAACCTTCATATTATGATTTTCTTATATCTTGATATTGCAGCTTGTCTGAAGGTCATAGTTGAAAAGTCATGGCAGATTCTTTGCATTTCAATGGAGTTATAAATGGGATGATCCCAATTAAGCATGCATCCCTATCAGCAGAAGTTGAGCAATTCTGTTATGCTCTTGGTGGAAAGACTCCCATACATAGTATATTAGTTGCAAATAATGGAATGGCAGCTGTTAAGTTCATGCGTAGCATTAGAACATGGGCTTATGAATCCTTTGGATCGGAGAAGACAATTCTCCTGGTTGCTATGGCAACTCCAGAAGACCTGAGAATAAATGCCGAACACATTAGGATTGCTGATCAATTTGTTGAAGTCCCTGGTGGAACCAACAACAACAATTATGCTAATGTTCAACTAATCGTTGAGGTGAACTTTCATTTCGCGCTCCTAGTGATTATTTTTTAAATATTATCTCATGATCTTTTTTTTTTTTTTTAAATCATTTGACAAACACTTACATTTTTTAAGTATATCAGATGGCAGAGATAACACATGTTTCTGCTGTTTGGCCTGGTTGGGGTCACGCATCTGAAAACCCAGAGCTTCCAGATGCTCTGGCAGCCAAGGGAATCATATTTCTTGGGCCTCCGGCTGCACCTATGTCAGCCTTAGGTGATAAGATAGGATCTTCGCTGATTGCTCAAGCCGCCGGAGTGCCTACGCTGCCATGGAGTGGCTCACATGTCTGTACTCCGAGCTTCAATTTCCATCTATTATTTGATGAAGCCAATTGTATTTTCCCTTTGGCATTTCTATTCTTCATCAACTATTTAAACTGACCTTGCAGGTAAGGATTTCAGCTGAAAGTTGTTTGGATTCTATTCCCGATGATATTTATCGTCAAGCTTGTGTTTATACAACAGAGGAAGCATTGGCGAGTTGCCAAGTTGTGGGTTACCCAGCTATGATCAAAGCATCTTGGGGCGGTGGCGGAAAAGGAATTAGAAAGGTTTGTTCAAGTCCACAAATAAACTATGACATCTTATGTTTCAACTACTAATATAATTAATTTTATAAACTTTTATCTAGAGTTTTATGGGGAGTACCTATTACTCTCATTGCTTGCCATTTTGATTTAAAGAATATCATAGTTGTAGTTATATGAAGAAATTCATGCGAATGCAAGCTAGTATGCCCTTATCTTCCAGCTTTGCTGTGATGAAGCTGGATGCCTGGATCCTTTTCATAAATATATTCATACAAACTAGTAAGGAGCCTAACTGATGTGAAACGTAAATGCCATGTACTTGCCTAGGTGGCAAGATTAATTAAATCCCAAATCAATTTGGGGAGAGAATGGAAATCTGAAATTAAATTTCATATTAAGTTGAATTGGCAGGATGAATTTGAATTTAAACTCAAATTTAATGGGGAGAATTAAATTGGATGAGAGGGAATTATGGAGGATTAATGAGGGGGCCTATTAATGAGATATGAGAGAGATTATGCCCAATGAGGGGGCCGGCCACATAAGGAGGGGAGAGGGGTGAGTTTTGGAATAAGTGGGGACCACCAAATTTAATTTCAGATTTTTACAAAAAATCTGAAATAAATTTTCAGTTTTCTTAAGGAAAGAAAACTTCCATTTAGGAGGGCAATCAATTTAAGCAATTTGAATTTCAAATTTGAAATTAAAATCCATTAAATTGATGGCGTAAATTAAGGAGCTACTTTAGGAAATAATTAATGGTCCATAAAACATTTGAATTTCAAATTTTGAAATTCAAGGAGAGGGAAGCCGGTGGCTATAGGAGGGAGGAAAGGGGCGGCCACGGTGTGGAAGGTGGTTGGCCGGCGGGAGGTAGTGGCCTGGAGGTCGGCGGCCTGAGCGGGCTGGAGGAGGGGCGGCGGAAGTGCTGGGTGGAAACGGGTGAGGGGATGGAGTTCAAGGAAGAATGCGATCCGGACGGATTCTCCTTCAATTCTCACACTAATTGATCACAAAGAAAAATTGGAGGAAGGTTTAGAACTCACAAAGAGATCTAGCTCTTCCCAAAACTCACTAAGAGATTTGGGAGAGGGATGCACTCACAAAGAGAACACAAAGTAGAGAACTCACTAAGAGATCTCAAAAGAAAAAGAACTCACTAAGATATCTAAAAGATGGAACTCACAAAGAGAACGCAAAAAGCAAATTTTCATTCATCAATTCATCTTCCCATTACATAAGAAAGGACCTCTATATATAGGCCTAAGAAACTAAAACAAGACACATATGCCCCTAAGACTTACATAGGTCGACCCTCTTAAGTGAGGGTAAAAATTTTTGAAATTCAAGGAGAGGGAAGCCGGTGGCTATGGGAGGGAGGAAAGGGGCGGCCACGGTGTGGAAGGTAGCTGGCCAGCGGGAGGCAGTGGCCTGGAGGTCGGCGGCCTGAGCGGGCTGGAGGAGGGGCGGCGGAAGTGCTGGGTGGAAACGGGTGAGGGGATGGAGTTCAAGGAAGAATGCGATCCGGACGGATTCTCCTTCAATTCTCACACTAATTGATCACAAAGAAAAATTGGAGGAAGGTTTAGAACTCACAAAGAGATCTAGCTCTTCCCAAAACTCACTAAGAGATTTGGGAGAGGGATGCACTCACAAAGAGAACACAAAGTAGAGAACTCACTAAGAGATCTCAAAAGAAAAAGAACTCACTAAGAGATCTAAAAGATGGAACTCACAAAGAGAATGTAAAAAGCAAATTTTCATTCATCAATTCATCCCCCCATTACATAAGAAAGGGCCTCTATATATAGGCCTAAGAAACTAAAATAAGACACATATGCCCCTAAGGCTTACATAGGACGACCCTCTTAAGTGAGGGTAAAAATGAAAAATTCATAATAAAAATTTAAAAATTACAAATAAAATATAAGATAACGTGGGACGATGACAGCCGTTGATTTTCAGCTCCTCGGATAGCCATGGATGGTTGGATGTCCGCATCACTAACCTAATAAGGGTGTCTTGTGTACAGGATTTGACATTCCATCCAAAACAGAATATGTACTTCTTTGTTGTGTTGTTGCTCGCTTCTTCGATGTCTTGATGCTAACCCCACTTATTTCTCGACAAGTATTTTTGCTAGAGAAAAGTGGCCACTTTTTTATTGTTTGAAATATGAAATTGTAGTGCTGATCTTAACGTTCTCCAACTTTTTTTGTTGTTTTGTGTGCTGTAAGATTTGTTATCATGCAAGTTTGTTCACTCTAGGTTCATAACGACGAAGAAGTTAAAGCTCTATTCAAGCAAGTACAGGGTGAAGTTCCAGGCTCTCCTATATTCATTATGAAGGTGGCATCTCAGGTGAGATAAAGAAGCTTCATTTTTCATATATGCATATTCCTCAGGGAATTCTTTGGTTTTCTTCTGTGGTTTGATAAAAATAACAAAACTGGACTTACCATTTGAGATCAAGGAGCTGAACTTGCATGCATTTTTCTCTTTCCAAATAACGTTTTTCTTCTTTTATTTAGGCAATATATTTTGCAGTTTATGCTTTTACAACCTAGTTGTATTATTTTCTCTTAACAGAAAAATTAAACTGTTGGTTTTTGTGTAGAGCCGACATTTGGAAGTTCAGTTACTGTGTGATCAACATGGTAACGTTGCTGCTCTTCATAGTAGAGATTGCAGTGTTCAGCGAAGGCATCAAAAGGCAAGCTTTGTAACACTTATTGTTTGATAACTACAAGTATGAAATTTCTCACTAGGTTGTTTTCCAGTATATCTTTCACTTGTGCCATAAAAGTATCGAGTTGTGTTTGTTCTATTAATCAAATTGTGCACATTCTTTTCTCACTTCATTTCCCATCTACACGTTCGATCATCAGTCATATTTAATGGTCCAACAAAACAATTAATTCAAGATCCGAAAACAGTTCATTGTAACTTGTTATATGAGTTTAATCTCCTCATCAAAGTGCTCTACCTAAACTTGAAAAATAGAGAGGAAATGTATGTGATTAAGCTCATTTACTGATTTTCTTACAAATTGCTGTTGTTCTCCACCAGATTATTGAGGAGGGTCCAATCACCATAGCGCCTGTTGAAACCGTGAAGCAACTGGAACAGGCAGCAAGGAGGCTTGCCAAGTGCGTGAATTATGTTGGTGCTGCAACTGTTGAATATCTTTTCGGCATGGAAACAGGAGAATATTATTTTCTAGAACTCAATCCTAGGTTGCAGGTATTTGATTTTGCCTACAATGCATCTGAAAAAAACCTTGGTAATTATGTGAAATCTGCATCTTATTTTGAAAAGAATCCTTTCAGGTAGAGCATCCTGTAACTGAATGGATAGCTGAGGTAAATCTTCCTGCTGCTCAAGTTGCAGTTGGGATGGGAATACCTCTTTGGCAAATTCCAGGTATGCATTTTTATTGAAGTTAGCTATGCAAGAGCCTACATGTGATAATGATTCTTTTTTTGCATTACCACTCAATTTCAGAAATTAGACGTTTCTATGGGATGGATTACGGTGGAGGATATGATGCCTGGAAGAAGACATCAATTGCTGCAACTCCATTTGATTTTGATAAAGCAGAATCTATTGGGCCAAAAGGTCATTGTGTTGCTGTTCGGGTAACCAGTGAGGATCCTGATGATGGCTTCAAGCCCACTAGCGGGAAAGTACAGGTGAGACCTAATGTTTAGGTGAAAAAATATCACCACCTATATCATCTTCTATCATGAATTGATGTTTACTCTATCGTTTTGGATATTGCAGGAGCTTATTTTTAAAAGCAAGCCCAATGTTTGGGCATACTTTTCAGTCAAGGTATGTCATCTGAGAGGTCATGAACTTCTATATTTCAAGTAACCTTTTAAATATAAAAATCAAGATCCTTACTGCTTTTTATGGTTTTCATTAATGAAGCTGGTATGCTCATGGCTTCTAAATATGTAAAAAAAAAAATAAAGTAGTAAATTCTTAACCTAACTGCCTTCCGGTGTTTTGTGTAGGCAGAAGATTTTTCCTATTCAAATTAATATTAGTATGTGTTTCATATTTTTGAAAATAATTATGTAAGGAACGTCAAAAAGGCGATTTATGTGAGGGTATGACTGCATATTGAGAGCTGCATCTTTTCAAAATTGCAATCAGTCAGCTTACACTAATATATTTCTCCCTATATTCAAATTCAGTCTGGAGGTGGCGTTCATGAATTCTCTGATTCTCAATTTGGTATGCCTTTCAGATTATCTGGATGTTAATTCTTCTTAGATGTCTGTGATTTCCATGTTTTAAACCTGTACTCTTATCATAGGACATGTTTTTGCATTTGGAGAATCTAGAGCCCTAGCAATAGCTAATATGGTTCTTGGGCTAAAGGAGATCCAAATTAGGGGAGAAATTCATACAAATGTTGATTATACAATTGATCTTCTTAATGTAAGTTATTTATCCTGCAATACTTCATTAATATTCGTTTGCAGATTACTTCACTGCATTAAATTCATTTCCTTTCTTTTCAGTCTGCAGAGTACAGAGACAATAAAATACACACTGGTTGGCTAGACAGCAGGATTTCAATGCGTGTTAGAGCTGAGAGGCCTCCTTGGTTCCTTTCTGTTGTTGGAGGAGCTCTTTATGTAAGTCTAACATTAATATATTATTCTATGTTAACATCTTGTTATTTTCTTTTTGTTCATTTGACAAGGTGTGTAACTTCATATGATATTATACCTGCAGAAAGCATCTGCAAGCAGTGCTGCCATTATCTCTGATTATGTTGGCTATCTTGTCAAGGGGCAGATACCACCCAAGGTAATGAAATTTGCAGTCCTAATTGGTGTCGAACCTGGAAAGTTCTCATTCTCTTCTGCGGACTAATATACTCTTATTTAATGTCTTGGTATACTTCAATGCAGCACATATCGCTTGTGAACTCCATTGTTTCTTTGAACATTGAAGGAAGCAAATATACGGTAACTTTCTGTGTTTTTTTTGGAAACTTATTGCATTCAAGGAATGTTTATTTGTTTCCTCAGTTTATTGGTTTCCATTTGTAGGTTGAAATGGTGAGGGGTGGACCTGGAACCTACAGGTTAAGGATGAATGGATCAGAGGTAGAAGCGGAAATCCATACTTTGCGTGATGGGGGACTTCTGATGCAGGCAAGCAATGCCACCCTCTCTTCTGTGTTTGGTGAAATTGTCAAGATACCATGGACTTGGTGCACTTTTTTTCAGTTCAACTTGTACGCACAGATTTTTGCATGGTCCTAAGATCTCAAGCACTTAATTTAAATAACATTTTGTCTTAGCATCATCATCCCAATCATCAGCCTTATCCTAATTATTAGGGGCTGGTGTTATGAATTCTCATTTATCACTTATTTCTATCGTGTGTTGTCTTAGGTGTTAAACCTTATCTTCATAAATTATTTGGACAACTTCTATCCATGTTATCTCAGGTCTACCACTTTTTATTCTAATCCTTTGAGATTAATTTTAAAAAAATGTCTAATAGTTGCATTTTCTACCCTTCCATGCACATGTCCAAATCATCTTATTTTGCTAAACTTTTTAATGAAGTTTGTGAAAATAAGATTGACTATAGTGACCTTAGCACCCTAAATGAAAATAAAGATTTCTGTTTTTATCGGCGTATTAGTAAAACTGAAGTTAGAGAGGCTTTAAAGAAAATGAAGGGTGGAAAAGCTGTTGGACCTGATGATATTCCAATAGAAGTGTGGAAATGCTTAGGAGATGAATGAATTT